TGGACCACAAGACAATCCAGTGATCAACAGCATGACCATCTATCTATGCAGTTGGGAACCGATGACACGTGTCAACACAGCCAGCGACCCTGACCACCCGATCCCGTTAGTCGCCTCTTACGACAAGCATGGGATGACGAAGACAAATTCTAACCCGAGGACAGCACCGCCGACGTATTTCAGAATATTTTTACGTTGCAGATCATTTTAATCCTGGAAACGTATTTTAGAGTGTTGATTATTTGAGTTTTTATAAACCAGCATCAGTAGCACGGTGACATCGCGGTGACCTTCAGTGGTGGAAACAACAATACATACTAGGGGTTGATAGCATGATTGAGTGAGTGAGTTTAGTTTTACGCCACTCTTCGCAATATTCCAGGAATATCAGGGCGGGGGACACCAGAAACGGGCTTCACACATTGTCCCCATGTGGGGAATCGAACCCGGCTCCTCGGCGTGACGAGCAAACGCTTGAACCACAAGGCTACCCAACCCTTGATAGCATGAACAGCGATTCATTTCGACTTACGGAGACCATTGCTTCCCCCTATCGCGATGCTTGATAAATGCGCTGATGTCATTTATGAGGACTAGCGTCGAGTGCGGCGGGAAATAAAATGCACTCACTGCTATCCATGCGGGGGTAGACATTCCCCGTGGGCGTGTGCATGTTCGTAAATACCCGTTGTCGACGGTGCATCACGCTCCGTGACCCCCCACGCCAGATCGGTTCTGATTTCAACCTTTGTTTACGAAGCACGAATACTCCCGATCTTTGGGTGCACTTGTAATAAGCACACATAAACCAAACATACGCTATAATCTCGATTTGTGAAATTATTTTCTTTTCTTCCATTAAAATGACATTTGAAAATAAATGTGAAAAGATGAATGTATTTTCAGGGTTTTTCCGGCGCTGTAAACCCACACGTTTCGTTTTTTGATTCGTTGATTCTTCAGATATACGTCTATGTTTTAGCGAAATTAAAGATCATGTTTCATTTTAATGCATACAACCCGCCCTTGTAAGTTTCTCAATTATATCTGTATGACTGGAGCTTTTTTGAAATAATCGGCCTTTCATCTGTGACACAATTATATCACCGCTTGGCGCTGTCGGCGGGTTCTGTAATCAAACCCCCTAACACGCGCTCGCCAAACTTTAGGGATGGGGAATGGTTTGTTGAAAAGTACTTATGATTTCTGAGAAATGACATCAAAGATAAGATTTCTTTCAATAATCGCTGCATAGTAGCTGCGAAAGAAAATGTGTTAGTTTTATTTCGTTTTTGCGAGTTAAGGTTTTCGGTTACTGACGTTTGAGTTCACTCGTCCTTGCCCAATTATGTAAATAAACAGGAAGTGAGAAAAAATACAAAAAGGTTTTGATGTTCTCTATCTGGAGCAAACAGTACCCTTATTATAAATATTCATATCTCATGATGTCTTTCGTAGTGTTATGGATAGAGGGACTGCTCCGAGAGCGAATTGCTGCTAGTTTGCTTCCGTGATAGCGTTATACCAAAATACGTTAAAAATGGTACTTGTTCTTACCTTGCCTGGAGCTGTGCATTAACCTTCCCGCTCGAAAGGGATTTTGTTGCAAGAAGCACTTTGCAATGTATATAGTAAGTTAGTAAGGATGCTTTTACGCCGCTTTTAGCAATATTCCAGCGATAAAACTGCCAGAGACACCAGTAATCGGTTCACACATTGTACCATGTATGGAATCGAACCCGGGTCTTCGGCGTGGCGAGCGAACGCTTTAACTACAATGCTCCCACCGCCCCTGGCGGTGTAAATATGTCATAAAGTGGAGAGCCATCTGTTTTTAAATAATTTTATACGCCCACTTGTGATGACATGTACAGATGTTGTTTGATTGACAAGGAATATTTAACCTTTAGGTCAACACGTGATCACACCCCTCAAAGATCTCAGTGGGGATGCTAGCGGGTTTGACACCCCTCCTTCTCGCAGAGAGTCGTGGGGTCTGGTTTCATATATAAGATATGACTGGGCGGATTAAAGCAGAGGCTGTGTTGAAACATATGTCTAGATTTTATGTTATGCTTTTGACATATACCATTCATATTCATGTATCATGCTTGACAACGGTACAAGAATCTGTATGGAAACGTCGCACTCACGAATAAAAAGAAGTTGTTATCCATGAAGTTTGTTCTATATTCATGACTTGTGTCACGCAAGGGGAGCTATTACAACATGTGCACTTGAATCATTGAAATTTAGATTTAGGACGTATCAAGAGATTTTCAGAAATACTTGGCCCTGTATCAAAACACTGTCGTAATTCCCATTCGTGTGTGCCAACATAGATGCAGGTTGCGTAATGTAGCTCTGTGGAAAGGGGCTCGTTTTCCTGAAGATCACGTTACTCGTCCAGAGTTACGACATCATGCATATAGTTCGACTGACAGATTTGTTTTGGCATCTTGATGACACTAGATCATCACTACAAAGTGTAACCAGGGAAAGGTATTGATGCATAGAATTAAGATACTGCGTATTTGAAAAATAACATTGGTGGTGAAACATATGCTATCATGCGTTCAGATCATACGTATTATGGAATTATCCGGTATGTAAGTGGCCGATTCCTCAGTCCTCCTCCTCCTCATAATCATCATCCTCATCTCATCATCATCATCATCATCACAAATTACATTTGTAGTAGCAGTATTTATTGTAGTCTGTCTCACTGTCACAGTCCCTGAACCACATCAAGGTATGTTTGTATACATATACTGACGTTCATAAGAAAGTACACACCTGGTGTTTTGGGACTATTTCCATTAAAACCACAAATATTTCGCTAGCAATGTTGTCATTGGGTACAATATCTGGTGTTTTGGAAACACTTGTACAATGTTTGTGACAAGGCAGAATCAAAACACTTTTTAAAATATTAATGCTGTTTTAAAGAAAACATTTTACCAAAGAATCAGGTGACTGTGTACTTTCTTCTGAACGTCAGATTAGCTTTTAATGCAATGTAAGTTATGTACCACCATTGAGGTGAGACTATAATATAATACTTGACTGTCTGTATTTTCCCTACAAACCCGCCCTCCCTGCAATGCTGAAGCCCTAAATGAAGCAAGTCTAGATTCAGGCCTGAATCACCAAACTCACTGGGACTCCTTTTCAATTTAAATGGATTTATTTATTACTATCAACATTTTATATACACGGACTATTCAGGGACCAAGCGTTAGTCTATATTTATAGTAGTAGACCTGAGAACATGACAATGTACATGTCTCAGAGATGCTCGAGTGTTCAGCCATCAGAATGAGAGACAGGTGTGGTTCCGGAAATTAACGGACCCATTCCACTTGAGAGGTTTGTTGCACAAACTGAAGTGTAGACGCACATACAGCTATATGGCCTCGCTACTCTCACGGTCAGACTATGCTCTCTGTATCCTCTGTTATGCATCCCCACTGCAATCAGAGCACAGTAGCCCTCTGTCTCCTTATACATGTTGTTAGAGCATACTGAAGTGGGTGAGGTGAGGTGAAATTGTGTTTAACGTCTTGCTTGAGAATATTTCGCTCATATGACGACGTGCATGCGTGTGTATGTGTATGTGCGGCTGCTTGTACTAGCCCAGACTGAAGCTGGTTTTATAGTGCTAGCCCACTGAGATACCATGCCGCAGTGAAGCATGAATACCCCACTCAGACACATTATACTGACTCCGAGCCGACCAGTCCTTGTTGTACCCATTAATGCCGAGCGCCAGGCAGGGACCAACAAGTACTATATTTTAACGTCTTTTGGTATGACGCGGTCGGGGATCGAACCCGCGACCCTCCGCTCTCCAGGCGGACGCTCTAACCACTACACCACGGAGGCGGTCTACTGAAGTGGGTACAGTACAGATACAACGTGTCATCTTGTAGATCACATTGTAATGTACCAATAAGGCCTGGATCAATGCTCGTACTGTCGACCTCTGGTTTGTCTGGTCCAGATTCGACCATTTAAGACCCATGCGGTGTTGCTGTATTCATACATGAATACATGAAAATGGTTTTACGCAACTTTTAGCAACAATCAACAATTTCACGTCGGGGGACTCAGAATTAGGCTCCACGCATTGTACCCTTGGGTGGAATCGAACCTGAGGCTTAAGCGTGGCAGTCGAAGGTATTAACCATTAGGCCGTATTAATGCAGGCAGGAGGGTAAAGCAACATTTCACGTTGTTGGCTTGTGTCAGCCTGCTCTTTGCATAGGAATTGCCTCAGATTGGTAGCTTCTCGGCAGATTTTACGGCTTATTACAATATCAATATAATATTCAATATTTTTTAAATAAAGCCATAACGAGATCAAAAGTGTATAGCTTCCGTCATTTATGTTGGCTGATATTGTCAGGGGTATACTGATCTGATGGGTTGCAGATATTCATGATATTCAGTGCACAAAGATGGAATATTACATCATGTCTGCCACCTTGGGAGTAGAACCACTCTCTGGAACTTCTAGAACATTGGTAACATCTGAATTATGTTTGCCTCAAGCGGAAGCGAAATGCTGATATGATGTATTGTGAATTGTTTACTGGCTTAATCAAGAATAATTGCACTATACTAAACAGTTAGATTCGGACGAAAAGAATCAACAATTAGTCACGTGATTAGAGTTTGCGGGTAATCATTCTAACACCAAACACGCTAACGTTGTTATGTTTTATAACGAACTGTAATATTGCATAACATTCTTTTGTCTTTGAAACTTAATAAAAATCCTTCCAAAATCATTTTGTAATTAAATTCAATGTTTTTCCCTTTTCGGTTATTTCCCAGTTCAGGCATTTATCTTCTCGTCACGCGAATCGATTTACCATAAACGCCCCCCATAAAATGTTCTGATTGGCCTCTTCGTGGTCACGTGGTGCAAACACGAAATCCGTAAGTAATTTGCTCGTCTGTTCAACTTCGCAGACGACAATTACCTTTCAGAAAAACTGTGGCTTGATTGGCTCACTGTAATCCCATAAAATGTACCATGGTTCCCAGTTCGCTTACTTACCCTTCGCTCCGTCTACAGAAACAACGATCGTCTGCTTATGAGTAGCAGACGACACTGCTTTCTTTTCTCCTTTCTGATGAGTTTCTCATCTTGCCATTCCAGATGCCGGACATACCCATTGTTCTCTCGGCCCTTCTCGTGTTATGTGCGAAACAGGTAAGGATGTTTGCAATTTTCTGTCTTTATTTTGACATGGTGTGTGTTTATTTGTAGCGATTCATACATAACAGAGGCGGAAGAACGTCACGAAGCCGATAACGTTTGTAATTTGATTAACTGTCGGAGGAGCTCAACACGTGATATTATGTAGCGTACATCTGCTGAGATTGTCCACTTAAGCAGGAATCGTTTGTGATGAGAGAACACGCAAATATTCACAGCAAAGCACTTGAACAATTAGAGAACCGGATTTCGCATATATGCTAGACTTTACAACCAATGGTTGACCATTCCATGTACTATATATGAGATTTTGTTGATACTAAGTAAATATCTACCTGTCCTTCGAAGAACCACAAACATTACCCAAAATTGTTTTCTCAGACAATCTGTTTTGATCAAAATAATATAATAAATATAATATATCTAATCTTTATGTTAAATTATCAAAGGTCCTCCTAATTCTCGTGACAGCGTTGTGATGGAGATGGTGTTTTATCGAGTGTTTAGGTTTGTTTTAACCATTTCGATTGCCAAACACACATCAACGGGACATCTAAGATTCCGCTGATAGAAGAATCAATTTAAAATACATTTACAATTTAAAGTACATGTACTTGAATTCATATCTATTCATCATGTTGTTTGTCTCCTATTATCGATCGAATTTATCAGACACAAGCCGTTTCCTAACACTTTTCAACGACCAATTTGTTGAAAAATATTATATTTGGTTTTGTTTTGGAAACAGTTCACTCGACAAGAATCAATGCCAAATGGGCAGCCGTCCAAGAGTTAAATGCATGTGGTGTATTTGCTGCTGGTATGAGCATGTCAGTTATAAGAAATGGAATTGATATTTCCTTAAAATAAAACTCTTAGGCGGAGAAGAACCGGGACAATTTGGCACCATGTCTGAAAGTAATGACAGGGCTTTTATAAAGATAGCGCGTGTGAAGCAATCGTGGTGCGTTCACAACTCAGTGACTTGAACGCTCGCCATAATCTGTAACACGGAACTTTGGAGAAGTTACAGGAATATATTGCTGTGATTTTCATGGGGAAACACTCTATGCTTTGTGATTAAGGGGCGATGTTTAGTATCAATTCACACAGGCAAAGATTTTGATTAATAACTACGAAGGGTGTCGTCCAAGTCCATAACACCACTAGAACCTTAACGACCATAGTTGTTATTCCGTTATTCACCACCACCACCACCACCACCATCATCATCATCATCATCATCATCGTCATCATCATCTGTTCGCACCCTTTTTTAAGCATACCAAACATTTCATGTGTGATCGTTCGTTTATGGTAAAGTTAACCTAAAGCATCGGTAATTTGGTGATTTTATTCCATACATTCTCACTTCTGCATCACTTGGCAACAGAAAGAATAGAAACGTGCAAAAGGTCCGAATCAAGCAATGTCACAGAATCTAACACTTCACAGTACAACATTCATAACGTGAACCAAGCGGTCTCATTTCCCTGTAAAATAGTGGGTAGCATTCGCTGAAACGAACTATCCTCCTTCCCGACCCTAACACTCATTAGAATCCCCCCCCCTCACCTCCTCTAATTCCCATCCCCCCGCACACATATGGTCACCATGCACCTCATCATCTGCTATCAGTCGGTTCCTGCAGCACGTGCAGCTGTTTGTTACCATAGTTTTGAATTATTTCATTTGACCTTCACGTGCCATGCTCGCATCAATGGTAACAGCATCAGTGTTTCCTGTCATAACTAATGGATGTTTAACCAGCCTGGGGTGTCGTGTTCTCCGACATCCCAACAGGTTGCCGGGCAGGTTGTTGCCGTGATCTGTCAGTGAGACCAGTTTCCGTGTGCCAACATAGCATGAAGGATTTAACGTATATCCGAGCTGGCAATATCACGTTTATCGGACACGTTCTTGGAGTTTTCTGTCATGCAGACTTGTTCCAAATGCTTCCAAGCTGATAATTTGAACTTCTTATTAATTTGTACCGCCACCCACCCAACCCTCACAAACACGCACATGAATCTGACACATGACACATCGTGATATAGTGAGTGAGGTTAGTTTTACGCCGCGCTCAGCAATATTCCAGCTATATGGCGGCGGTCTGTAAATAATCGAGAACTAGTGCCAGTTCCAAACAATCGTGAATATCCGGGTTAGAATTGATCTTCAGTAACCCATGCTTGTCGTAAGAGGCGACTAAGGGGATCGGGTGGTCAGGCTCGCTGACTTGGTTCACAAATGTCATCGGATCCCAGTTGCGTAGATCGATGCTCATGACGTTGATCACTGGATTGTCTGGTCCAGACTCGATTATTTGCAGACCGCCGCCATATAGCTTGAATACTGCTGAGTGCGGCGTTAAACAACAACCAACCTATCCAAACATCGTGGTATTTCCGGAAATAGAGTGTTCCCGGACACTGTTTAACTCTTTGTGTAAACTAACGCTTAGTCTCTAACATAATATTTAGTCTTAAAATATATGATTTTGACAAAACCGAAATTATATTAAAGAGGAGCCCTACTGAGATGGTAGATTCAGAACCTGAGAAAAATCTCATGGGGTGGAAGGGGGAAGGCTCAGCGTAAGGGTCGGTACGGGAAGGGCATAATACGATTCGGAGACTGAGGAAGATTACTTTATGTTGGAACATGCCCAGGTCAGTTTGGTGATCCAGGTTCGAGTCCACATATTTATACCCTCTTGAAGCCAGTATGTAGTGTCTTCGCTTTATGTCACTTAATTGGGCGGTGGGGTAGCCTAGTGGTTAAAGCGTTGGCTCGTCACGCCGAAGACCCGGGTTCGAATCCCCACATGGGTACAATGTGTGAAGCCCATTTCTGGTGTTCCCCGCCGTGATGTTGCTGGAATATTGCTAAAAGCGGCGTAAAACCAAACTCAGTCAGTCAGTGTAACTTAATTATTTATCCGAAGGGTGCATAAAACGCACCCTTCGTCCCTAGGCAGGGGATCCGTAAAGACCAAGGTCGTTGATATTCAGCAACCCATTCTGAGCGGCGACTAACGGGATCGGGTGGTCAGGCTCGCTGACTTGGTTGACACATGTCATAGTATCCCAATTGCGAAGGGGGATGCTCATGCTGTTGGTCAGTGGATTGTCTGGTCCAGACTCGGTAGCTGGAATATTGCTGAGTGCGGCGTTAAAAACCAACCAAACAGCAAAACATAATCTATGCAGGTGTTATAATACACTGCTTATAGGCGGCCGTTTGGGCCACACACGGGGTAAGTATACTCTAGACAACATCCATTTCTTCTCAACACCCCCAGCCTTGTATCCACCCCCATACAGATAACCCCACGTCCCCCAAGCCTACATCCCCACCACACCACCCCTGCTGTGTGTGTTAATCACATTATGTTCAATTTACATATTAGCATGTTTGTGTGGGAGGCTAAGTAAATATCCGCTTGGCGGGGCGTTAATGTGATAAGTAAGACTACACAAGATCATGCAAGAATTGTAAGGACAAGAATGTATCACCTGTGGGGTTTTATCAGAGGTGTTAATAGCCCTCTTGAAATGTCAGCTTGACGCTTACCATGTGTGAACTGTTCAGTCCAAATTAATGCGAAATTTATCCAATTACATTGATATTGATATTCTCAAGGTCGATTCTTCAAGTTTGACGCTTATAAACAGGAAGCTGTTTGGAAAGAATATTACATCCTGTAAAAACAATAGAACGTTTGATTCCTTGGCTGGTTATTTTACTTCATACTCAGCAAAATTATAATTCCTGCTTTTATTGTTTGTTAGTCGTTTTACTCCGCACTCAGCAATATACCAGCAATATACCAGCAATATACCAGCCATATACCAGCCATATACCAGCTATATACCAGCAATATACCAGCAATATCATGAGCATCGGCTATATACCAGCAATATACCAGCAATATACCAGCTAGTCAGCTAGCATGACCAGCAATATACCAGTTATTCGCCCCATACCAGCTATATGGCGTCAGGTTCCTGTAAATCGTCGAGACCAGAGGACCAGATTAATCCAGTCCAGCAAAAATATTAATCAGATCAACATACTGCAGAGAATCGGTCTACAGCTAATGTGATACGAAACGACATATATCAACCAAGTCAGACTTGAGCATATCAATCAACCAGTTCCAAAATACATTGTTCGGATTAATCGCCCCAAGACTCATGTTTCGGTTTGCATAGTTGCTGAAGACCAATCCTAACCCGGACTTCACGGGGGCCTTTTTACGTCGATCTGCGAATGATCGAGCCTGGACCAGATAAAAGAGTGATCAATATCACGAGCGGCGTTTCACGGACGCCTTCGAATTACGATGGCTGTAAAGATTCTCTTAGTCCTTCAATCTCATTTTCCTTTCCACCGACCTTTGCTGCAATGCAAAAGACCCAAATGAAGAAAGTCTAGCTTTGCCTCAGGCTATGGTTTCTGAATCTCCCAGCTAAATTTTCAATTTAATTGAGTTAGCTGTTTTTTTTCAAAATACATTATCGTTAGACTAAGGCATACGTTGTCAGAAACTAACACTAAGCGCATGTACTAGTTGCGTGGTATGAGTGCTATATAAATATCATATCATATCATATCATAATCCCGATTCCAAACGGATCCATCAATATATGTATGGATATTTGTTATTTTGTATTGTAGAATGACGTATATGTTTACATTGAAATTAAAAACTGTTTAATGTCACTTTAAATATCGAAGTTCGCTCCATAGAAAGAAAACATCACAAACACAAAACAACATACTTTAACTGAACGGCTTAAATCTGTATGAGAATGCTATTGCTGAATGGACTTCCGCCCAGTGACAAGGTTCAAGACAACCTGACAACATGACACTTTGTTGTCGGCCGAACCGCATGAGTGATCAAAGAGCTGGTGAATCCAGCATTCTGTATCACTCCCTCTACAATCTCGCGTTATTTACGTAACCTCCCCGCGAACCGCTGATCTCTCCCCAAACTACGTCGTTTACACGCGTTTGTCGCGTGCTCAAATGAAAATCCTGTCTCGAGAAAATATTTCTTCCGAAACGTGAAACCTCATGTAACGGTGGAATGTGCGGCACACGATGGCGGACTTCCAGCCGGCTGAAATGTCAAATGTAAATTTCATCTGAATTTAATTGACTCACAAATATTGGAAATACGCATTTTGTCAGGTTTGTTTGTTCTTGGGAATATTTCGGAAAATATCGCGCATATCTTTAAACAATGGCGTTGTGTGGTATCACCGGAAGTGCTGAACAGGAAGCGACGCCATTGACACACCTGTTGTTGTTTTCACCTTGACAAGACTTTAAATTGTTTGATATAAGTATTTGCTGAAATGATGTTAGCCAAAAAGGAGATAGCTGAAAGAAAAGTATCAGTTCGCTTGCTTTCTTACACGAACATAACAATAAAAACACGAATGAAAACATGAATATTCTAAACATTTTTATTATGTGAAATGGAGGTTGCATTATGGCGCTACAGTATGCCTTTTGCTTCATGATAGGATAGAAATTAGTCCCAGAAATAAAGTCGTCTTATTCAAAATTACCACTGAACAACGCGATAGTCATCATATTCTCCGTTTGCTTGCCAATTTTGTACTTAAGTGCAAAATCTTTTTGAGTAGGCTGGGGAATTGCATCAAAATCTTTTATTAGCTAAATTTTCTGTTTTTTTCCGTGATACCGGATGCCGGTGTAGAGAGCGTTAATTACTGTACTAAAAGTCAGTTGCGCGGTGTTTGTTGTGCCGAAATACGGAATAGACTGACGCGGGATTAGAGGGCGTGTAAATAATCATAAATTAACTAGCTTCTGCCGAGACCAAATTCTAGTGCCGATATTGAGAGCATGCCGGATTGGAGGGCTGCCGGTTTTGAGAGCTTCCACTGTATCTGCAATAAATAGCACAAGTATAATTTAAAAAGGGCCCAGTACAATTCTATGGCTGAGGCTGACTCATTTTAGACTTTAGTTGGACACCTTTTTAATTAATATCTTAGGTCTGATAAAGTTTATTGTGAAGTGTACTTCGATGAGATAATGGGAATACAATATAATAATAATGCATATTTATATGTGCGCAGGATCCACCTCGACAGACATGCTCAAGGCGCTACAGAAATAGATAAACTACAACTCCTGACAAAAACAAACCAAGCACATTCATACTCCACTGTATTTAATAAGAGAGGACTCCAGTCTCACTATCTGTCGGTTCTTTTCTTCTTGTAGTAAGTTGCGAATAAACCTTGAAACTAAACAATATTGGGTTTGGGAGTAGGGGAAAAATCATTTGTGATAGACTGAAAACATGCTATGCGATTGCTTGGTCGTTTGAACCTTTCGACTTCGATTATCATCGGCCATGAAATGTCGAGACGGCGTCTTGTACAACAATGGCCCCGTTTCACGTACGTGGAGATGGCTTCATGTACAATATGAAGGACCTGCTTCACGAACACTACAGCTATGCATGTCGAGACGGCACCATAACAATTAATAATTCAAAGACCCAGTAACAATATCGATTCCTGTGATATCGGTAATAACGCGAATCTGTTTCATATTGTCTGGGAATATCCAGACGATAAGCATGCCTTTGTCAGCACGTTTTTTTCAGAACACGTCGACTTACTCATAGGTCAACATTTCTTCCAGACGGAACTTCAAGGCAATCCCGAATTTAAGAGTCGTGCTAGACTAATGCTTAGTCTCTGAATATATATAATTTTGATAGTAACAAACAAGCCCATTTAAATTGAAAAGGAGCCCCAGGTAGACCAGAGATTCAGAACCTGAGGAAATCTAGACTTTATTGAGGGCCTTGGCACTGCAGAGAGGCCTGGCAGTAGGGAAAGTAATGTGGTTCAGGGACTGTGAGACAGACTAGAGTCGTGCTTGTGATGTGAGCTCTTGAAACTACTAAGTTTACGCACGTTATTAAACGACCATTAATAACCCGCATGAGACAAGCGAGGCAGGTTTCGACTGTTGCTACAATGGACTTTATATAATAACCTACCATCCAGGAACATACAGCCATACATCAGACTGCTCATACACTTAACATACGTATCTGAAAGAAGCCTTTCAGATAACACGATTATGTTTTCATACGCAATATATTGTCTACTTTATCTATATTCCACTCAGCCAGATGAACACCCATACTGTTTTCGAACTGACGTTTTATATTTGCCTTCCAGACAACAGCAAATGGTGTATTCGAGGTGAAGATCAGAGCTCTTTACAACGACCGAGGTCAGACAGCCGACGGAAACTGCTGTTCTGGCACTCAGACAACTTCGTCATGTTCCGAGGAGTGTCGGATATTCGTGTCTGTGTGCTTGTTGCACTTCCAGAACCCTATCCCCCCGTCCCCTGCCTGCACGTACGGGAGTGAGGTCACCCCGGTGATAGGGGGTAACACCATCGGGGTGGGGAACGAGCTCGGCGACGGACCGTACATCATCAGAGTGCCGCTCACGTTTCTATGGCCGGTGAGTATAGCTAGACTGGTTATTTCAGCACTTTGCCACCATCATCTTTTTATGACGTGATAGTAAAGACTGGTTATATCATCACTTTGCGTTATGTCAGACAGGCGTGAATCCTTCATTTCATAGTTTAGCCACCCGTGAAGATCCGGGTTAGAATTGGTCTTCCGTAACACTCACACATGCTTGTCGTAAGAGGCAACTAACGGGATCGGGTGGTCAGGCTCGCTGACTTGGTTGACATATGTCATCGTATCCCAATTGCGTAGATCGATGCGCATGTTGTTGATCACTGGATTGTCTGGTCCAGACTCGATTGTTTACATACCGCCGACATATAGCTGTAATATTGCTGAATGCGACGTATTCATTAAATGGCCGGTGAGTGCAGATTGGGAATTTCTTCACTCTCCTGATATTTTCCTTTTTTTACCCGATGAGTTACACGGCCAGGTACGATTAATGTGATAGACTGTGATCCGTCTTTCACGTGTCTGACAATGGACGTACCGGGGCCTCTTGTGGCGTTCTGCCAAAATGGTTCTCTTAACATCGTTAATTGCGCATTGGAATAGCGGGACTAGTCTGAATACGATACTCGCAGAGATAGTCGACTGGAAAACGACTCCTGTGAGAAATAAACCAAATAAATAAAACTAAACGTAAATGTTCAATATACACACGGAGCCAAGTTTCCAAACACTCTGTATCACTATATTATGCGCGTGCTATCAGAACAATAATGAAACAGATACCACGTGAATTGACTACTCCCTTGTAAAATGTCACGTGTCATTCAAGGGAGATAAACGTGAAACACTAGATCCCAGAGGGCGCTTTGACGTGATGGAACTGGATAACAAACGTGGTATTGTTTAATGTGTTGCTAAACTGTTTACACTGCGAGATATAATGATTATCGCTTGCATCGACAATCCGCTGCGTGGCTTCTTAGTATCAAGTACATTTGAAGTATTTCTTAGGAAAATATTATTAAAGAAAGCGCCATTACTAACAAGGGGATGTGGAAAATAAATCAGAATAAAAGAGTCATTTTTAGAATAAAAAAGAAAATGTAAAATTGGCTTCGGAAAGATATTGAATATAAGTATTATATTTCGGATTAATACTTTTGATACATTCGTCTACAGGGTATCGGTGACGTCAAACAGATAAGAGATAATAAATACTAATTATTTAAAATGATTTTCTTACTCAAACTGCAATCAAGATGATTTGAAATGATATTTAATGCTCTCGTGGGAATTGTTTCGATAATTTTAGCTTCAACAATAAGCGTATTTTGAACATATTGCCATTCCCGTTGGACAGTATTTTCTGATTACGTAATTTGAGTATTTTCTTTTTTTAAAGTTGCACAGCCATTTTTGACGCACCGGTGAGTCTGTCTTATCTTAATTGACAGGAATCATAATTCCAGAAAATATTGGGTTCAGAACTAGTCAGATCCCACTCATTGTGGCTCGGTAATGGGGATAACTTGTCTATTTAAGCGTACATATTCTCTTGTCATATGAATTACAAGTTTACAAACGGTCTTACATTATTTCGTTTTTCCATGCTACAATGTTCACTCACTCACTCACTCACTTAAATCTAACTGATACTCTAGTTGTTTTACCGTCCTTTGACGGCAGGTTTTATAATAAACACATATTCTTTATCAACGTCAAATTTGTTGTCGTCACGATATGGCTGAAACACTGCCGATGTGACGTTAAATATTAACTCACTCACTCACTCACTCAAAGTGGGAATGTAGATAAGGAGGATGCTATCCCGCAACCACCTCCCCATCATGTATATGAAATCGATTACCTGATATAACAATCCTCCAAAACGGGATATGCAAATACTTGTTATACCAATAATGTCACCATAATATGTCGAATAGTTGTTAATCACCCCAGCACGAACAGCTGCATACAGACAAATACTTTATAAACCAATGGTCACTTCATCACATGCTTATGTCTTCAAGCCACAGGTGGTTATTCTTGCGAATATCTGGTGCCACTGAGTCGTATTGTGGACAGTCGGTAGGTAATTGAGCAGGACAAACAAACCAGATATTGAGAACACGATCCATGCTCAATGTCAGTCAGTCAGTCAGTCAGTCATAATAATTATAATAATAATAATAATGTGTCCATTTATATAGCGCCAAACTCCACACTAGGTATGCTCATAGCGCTAACAATCAAGGCACAGCACATTATTACCCCGGATAACCCAAGCTGCCTGTTAGGCGCTAGAAGGTTATAGTCATATGACTTTTTCCACCGGGTATCCATTTTCCTGCTGGATGAACAGTCAGTCCATGAACCTTCCCTTTCTGCAATGCTAAATCCATAAATGAAGTAACTCTAAGTTTCCCTAGGTTCTGAATTTCCCATCTCACTGGGGCTCCTTTTCAACTTAATAGGAATTATTTGTTTCCTTCAAAATTATATACATTCATTGACTATGCGTTAGTCATTCCGCACTAAAACCACCAAACCAAACCCCATTTCGATCCGCTGAGGTAGGAACAACTAGGGACGTCTGTGACTCTGGAGTTCTGACAGAATACACCATGGCATCGTGTGCTCGAAGACTTATTTCTATTCTTGATTCCTGAGACTGCCATATTTGTCATTGGCTATACATATACATCAACCTGTTAGTGCTTTGTACATATAACAGCTCCTGTGGAAACGAGATTTAGCCTGGGGATTTAACACGGTGGATGAGAATTTAGTTTTGCTGCCCTATATGTGTGCAATGTGGGGATATCTTCTTGTAGTCCCCAATTGGGATTCTGTTTCAACATTACCAAAAGCGACGTTGAACCTAATAAAAACACTATCACATAAAATATTGAAGTATCTATTAAGACGACTCATGTTTCAAGATGATGTGTACTTTCGAGATTATGCACTGCCTGGCACTGGCCTTTCGTTCCATTAGGAACGGGGTTTCTGCGACGTCATTGGCCTTAATAACGTAAACACCGACGGCTGGAACGACCTTTTAACGAATAGCCTAAGAACACTCCACGGATATTTAGGCACCTGTAATAGTATTAAGCTTGACCTTCATGTTTGATGACGTTTTTATCTAAGTACATTTTCTCAAGTGGAACTAGGGAATTATAGATCTCCTTTGAAGATTTGTAGACAGGGCCATGTAATGATAATAACGCCCCAAGTGTATTATATCATACCAGACAACGCGCACCACGCGAGCTGTTAGACTGCCACCTAGCGGGCGTCACGATAACGCCGGCGAACGTTTGGATCCTGTGTACCAGACGGGTCAGACAATATACGGCATTGTAAATAAATTTAAGACAACTGAAAAAGCTCCGGCTAAGAATATACGGCTATTTGCTGAATCCGTTCTTAATCATAGAGTGAAAAACAACAAGTTTTTCATTCTGTAGATTCAGCGGTGGCCGCTTCTCCGTCGCCATTGCTATGACAGGTTAATGCCAGGGTGAACCTCTCCGCTGATGGCGTCATACCATCAAACTGTCATCGCCGGCAGTAAACGGTAACTGGCAGACAAATAACGGTACCACACAGAGAGGTACAGTGGAGGGTGCTGTGATGGAACAGCTCTCAATTGTCATGATATGAGAAGTCTTAACTTCTTTAAGGTCGTTAACCCGGATCTTCACGGATGCATGTATGGGGACGCATTATAATAGTGATGCCATAACAGTCCGCTGTCATTTAAATTGGAAGATGTTCTAGGAGGTAACGCGTGATTTATTATGATTATGTCTATAGTGATGAAATTAAGGATGCTAATGCTGATATATTCGGCTACCACGACACCAGCAGCAGCACAACCTCCGCCATCACCAGGACCATCGTTGTGGTGTAAAGGGCTAACACTAGACTTAGTGGTTCAAATCCCAAGTCACACCCACACACGTTGAAAGATGGTACTTGTCCTTACCCTTCCTTATGCTCCGTAATATAGGGATAAGGACTGGTAGGCTCCGAGTTCGAGTCTGAGTAGGGGTATCCGTGGTAAGCAGCGGCATAGTATCTGATTAGGATAGCGCTACAAAATCGGTATCTAGGCAATCTGGTTACCTAGTAGTCTGTCTCACAGTCCCTGAACCACGTTATTTTCCCTACAGCCTAGCCTTCCCTGTAGTGCTAAAGCCCTTAAAGAAGCAAGTCTAGATTTCCCCAGGTTCTGAATCTCTGGTCTCCCTAGGGCTCCTTTTCAATTTAAATGGGCTTGTTTGTTACTATCAAAATTATATATATTCAGAGACTAAGCCTTAGTCTAGTTACCTAGCGGTGGGGTAGCCTAGTGGTTAAAGCGTTTGCTCGTCACGCCGAAGACCCGGGTTCGGTTCACACATTGGTACAATGTAGAAATCCCACGTCTGGTGTCCCCCGCCGTGATATTGCTGGAATATGGCGTAAAACCATAATGACTTATTCCAAGTTGTAATCAGCCAATTCCCCTGTTTCAATCCATTCAAGAAGGGGTTCTGGAACCTGGAACTCTGACAGAATTCATCCTCTGCATTGTGAGCTCGAGGATCTACTTTTAATTAACTGAGTATGTTAAACCCCATTTACATAATCATCATCAACATCATCATTGCAGGTGTTACTATCTTAATCATTTCGACCTTTTTCGTACAAATTTAGGATTTTACATCAACGCTTAACCTGTTTGTGAAGTAGGCTAATGTGCTTACAAAATTAAGTTCGCACCAGCTCCCACATTTCCGATTGTAACGGAATGTGACGATGTCGGCCGACCGCATATCACGGAGCTTAATGTATTCCGATCACATCAAACATTTCTGTGATCCACGTGAAATCTCGATCAATCCCAGTCGTTAAGTCGCCCACGGGGAAAGAACATGTGACATATTACGACTAACGTCGCCTGATTTGTCTTTTTCCCGCAACAAAACATTTTCTTTAAACCTTCGGGAAAAAGATTACGAGATAAACATATTTGTTCAGGTGTACTACTGAAATTAAATTTCATTTGGATCTGAAACAAATTCATTTTACAGGCCTTGAAATCGAGATTGTCAGCTCAGTGTATTTGTACACCTGCAGTTTCTAGATCTTACAACGGTGTCCACACATTCAAAGACATGTGTTTTAGAACTCACTAATCCTGACGAATCTCAGAAATCGGTTAGAGTTTGGGACGTTTTTTAAACCAGTTCTTGTTAAAAAGTGAAATTTGCAATGTCCCAGAGCCATCTCTTGGAGCTAATATGTGAAAGAAGCTGAATACTTGGACCTCTTGTGTAAATATTTGAATATGATACGAACATCTTCTCACGTGTCTCTGGATGCACTCGGGAGACACACGCACGGGACGTTCAAGTCTTAAATGCTGCACGTAGATGAAAATCTTATTTACCTATCCGTCCGCGCTTAACTTAATACCCCCAACTCAAATTATCTCTTCTATCAATTACACGTCTCCTCGAGCCTATCAACCAGGCAGCCACAAGGACGAAGAAATAGGTCGGAATTAACGAGACGGGTCAGTTTGGATATTTTCTAAGGCGCACGTGGTGAGTGTCAGTTTTGGAAATGTCGACAGTGTCATCAGTCTCGTATCAAAACGGCCGCCATTTTGAAATACACGTCATCATTACGTCATCTTATGTCCATTTTGTATTGATAGATGGCTTGCTGGATCAAGATTGTTAACGACTGGGTCGAGTTTGGCGACCTAACATCACAGATACCCTTCATGTTGCCCTTGCCCAAAGATTGCCCTTATCCATTGCGATAGCGTAACATATCCGTCAACGCACGTGTTAAAATACGAGATCTCGCGAGAATGCAAATGTCTGATGTGCTGTGTACGGTGTGAGGAGTCATGTTTCGTCTTTGTGAGAGATCCAGGTTTATCATTGGTTATCCGGTCTTTGACTGCCAGGAATTTGCTACGCCGGTTTGGTTTGCATCAACACTTCAATGTCAGATCATTTTATCAATCTAAAGAAAACAATGACGAGTGATAGAATCCATTTTTCTAAACAAAATACTTGGGGAAAAGATATTCGTATCACCAGGCGCAACAAACTACACTTGTACAACCTGTGAAGATCCGGGTCAGAATTGGTCTTCAGCAATGCAACCCATACTTGTCGTAAGAGGTAGCAACTGGATCAGGTGGTTAAACTTGCCGAGTCATCGTATCCAAACTGCGTTATCCAATCAAATCACTGGCAATATGTCACTTTACTCACCAGGTAATATGCCACTTAACACACCGGGTAATATATCACTTAATTCTCTAGGTAATATGTTACTCAAATCACCATGTAACATGTCACTTTACTCGCCAGGCAATGTGTAACTTAACCCATCAGGTTATATATAAATATAGCGTAAAACCAACCCTCTCACTCACCAACTCCCTAAGTCTCTCACTACAATCTTCCGGAACTAATATACCTGCCGGTTTGAACAGATCCCGGTTTAGATAGAGTCCACTTATAAATATGATACATATCATGCTAAAATAAATTCTACAAATTACTTTATATGGTTTAAATGCAGCTTTGATGCATTGGTGACATGTTTTAATTCCATGACATGTTCTAGTTGCAATATTATGCGCGTTATGTATTGTAAATTCACGCAAATTGTCGATTTCTGTTACATAATACGATGCACGTATGGTGCAGAGTCGTTGTTGGAGGTCATGCACTGGGGCGACCCCCTCATCAGGTGTATGTTTATTCAATGTTTATTCGAGTCAAATCTATATATTTACTTAACACTTTATGTTTATATTTTAGAAAATAACACTTTTTATTTATGGTATGTATTGAAGGCTGAAGCTATTTGCACGTCGGTAATTGTGTTAGATTTTTTGTTTCCGTGAAAGATAAATTATGTTATTTCAAGTAAACTTGCATTGTACAGAAAATTCACTTGTGTATACTTTTATTAGATAGAACACCGGGTGTTACCAGCTGTTTGTAAAACAGTGTTCTTTGCTACGTTATGCCAACAGCATCATTAGCAATGCCTTGTATTTTTTGTAGCTGTTATCGCAGTTTTACAATAAAAAAATGAAATATTAACTAAATTTCTCGAGATTTTGATATTTGTCACTGGAGACTAGGGGAAAAGTAGCGCGTTTTTTAATCACTCACGTCAAGGGTCCGGGTTCGATTTCCATCATGGTAATCTGTGGCCATTCCACTCATGTTGTCGGGCCCATGTTATTGGTGGGATTCTCTACAAGAGACGAGAAGCCTCGCCCTTCACTCTGGGATACAAGATACTAGTCACGTATAGCTCGTCAGCGCGCTTGTAACAGTATATGCCAGTTTTATCACTTCATGTCAGCCTGGGTGAACACGGCCTCAGAGCACCCACTGCTTGTCACATGTGGCAAAACTAGAATCCGGCGGTCAAGCTCGCTGGTTTAATTGTTGCATGTCATCGTGTGATAATTGCTTAGATCGATGCTCATAATATGAATCACTGTATTGTCTGGTCCAGACTCGATTATGTACTCTCTGTCATAAAGCTGGAATATGGCTGAGCGCGACGTCAAATAAATAAATGAATGAATGAATAAATATCACATCTTTCTTCTTTGGATTCTGATTGCAGCTGGACTCGCCTCTTTGTATAATCTAGATTAGTTCTGACGAACTTAAACGTAGGTATCTCACAATTATAGAGCAGAACAACAAATCTATACAATCTATACATTGTCCGAAGACGGCACAGGCTGTCGTCCGTGGTAATATACGGACCCTGTAATATATACATGTATATCCAATAAACCCCATGCAAGTCTAGATCACTGCAGTTTCTCGCACACGAACAAATTGTCTTGTCTCCTGTTTATTATATATTATCAAGATAATATAAACACTGTAAAATATGTTGATTTCAGAGACTAGACGTTTTTCTTGTGACACAGCTACACCAATGTTCGTGTCCATTTCAGAGGGGCGGTGGGGTAGCCTAGTGGTTAAAGCGTTCGCTCGTCACGCTGAAGACCTTGGTTCAATTCCCCACATGGCCACAATGTGTGAAGCCCATTTGTGGTGTCGTCCGCCGTGATATTGCTGGAATATTGCTAAAAGCGGCGTAAAACCATACTCACTCACTCCATTTCAGATGTCTTTTGTTTAGATGTCATTTTAGTCTACACTCTTTACGTGGCCTTGACTTGAGATGTATCAGATCAAGAGCGTTGTACATGTCATGTATGTTTCACATCACTGCCACTACAAGTGACTTTGTCTCAACACAGGCAACTCCACATGCAAATTCTAAAGTGTTGTTCATTTCATGCATGTTTCATGTCAGTCTGTACCACAGTTACTGCATAACCTCTTCTTTATAACGCGGAGGCAGATCCACGTGGAGATAAATTATTTCGTCAAGAGCATGTACATTTCATGCATGTTTCATGTCAATCACTCTCCGCATGTTCCAGGAATCCTTCGCCGTGCTGGTTGAAGCCTGGCACGACGCCCACGGCAATGAGAGCAGAGCAGGTAGGTGTAATTTGCATCTAACAACACCGTCATTACGTCAAGGAGGGAATACTTATCCCACTAATTTGTATAGAGCTATGCCACATCAAAGCCCTGCCCGGTTAGACAAATGGACATACGTTCTGGAACAATCACTTGAAGCTTGCAGTGCAAATGTATTTTGGGTAAAGTAGTTGAGTCATTATATTTGACATAACCTAACGGTTTTATTATAGTTTTATGCAGTGAAACGTTGTTAATCCACAACCTGTTACCCGTGATGATCCGGGGTAGAATTGGTCTTCAGCAACCCATGCATATCGCCAGAGGCGACTAACGGGATCGGGTGGTCAGGCTCGCTGTGTCATCGTAACCCAGTTACGTAGTTCGATGCTCATGCCTTTGATCACTGGATTGTCTGGTCTATTCCGCTATATAGCCGGAATATTGCTGAGTGCGGCGTTAGAAAGCAACCAAACAAACACAACCTGGTAATCCAAAATCACGATTGGCCTATTCCAGATAATTTACATATCGACAAGGACTTAATTCAATACCCATAATTCGTTAATTTAAAAAATTATAAATCCGGACAAAATCCTTGGGATGTAACGTTTCTTTCTCTGTGTAATCATGACGTTTCGCTTATCAATGGGTACCCGTAAGTTAGATCACACTTGAATTTTGTTCTACCCCGGTAGCTACCATGTAAGTATGCACAGACTTGATATTGTGTCAAAACCCATTCTTTATATGCATTGTGCATTGCAGCGTGCATATGCAATTGTGGTTGGGGTGCTATATGTTTTAACAAAATGACATTACGTACATGGAAACTGACAACAACAATAATTACTATTTTTGTTATGTTACAGATCCTAGGAACCTGGTGATACGTACAGGTAGAGCTGGGAAGATCAAGCCATCGACAATCTGGAAGAACGAGTCTCAGATAACGATGACGGCAGACATCCGCTACAGCTACCGCGTCATCTGTGACCCCCATTACTATGGCGACGGCTGTGACCGGCTCTGTCGTCCACGGGACAATACGTTCGGACATTATCACTGCGACAGGAACGGCAGCCGTATCTGCATGGACGGCTGGGTCGGCGAGTTTTGTGATAAAGGTAGGTATCCTGGCTATAACCACCACGAGGTACTGCAAACTCAGGTCGTTATTTATGTCCAGTATTCATATGAATATTACTTCACCTATACTTGCTTATTTACAGGATATTATCCTGGCTTGGTACAGAAATCCGTTATATATATAACAGGAATATTGCTGTTGTATTGCTGTTGCTATATATACTACCCATCAAATGTTTAGACTCACTTAAAGCACTCACTATATTTTATATGTTATATGTATATATATGGTTACATCGAAGATTGATTTCTCCACTAACTTGGGGAAACCAACTGCAAACGTTATGCAGATGAATTGACGAGGATAATGCTTCAAATTGCTGAAGGCATTTGCAAATATCGTGCATGTGAACATGTGTTTGTGTAAAGTTTTGTTCAGAAATCACCAATTTTCACTGAGTTTCATCATTTATTGAACTCATGACAATAATCTTTTCAATGTTACAAATTTGTTTTACAATACATCAGTTCATGTGTTAACAGTACCTTTAAACAGTATGGAATATTTTGCAAAATCTAGTTTAGAACAGTTGACTGAAGTAAGTGGCTACATTTACACTAGTGAGTCTAAACCTTAGATGGGTAGTATAGAACCGGAATAGGGTCGGTAGGGTAACCGCTCGTCACGCCTTAGACCTGGGTTCGAATCCTTACATGGGTACAATATGACTTACTGTGAAGCCCATTTCTGGTGTCCCCCGCCGTGATGTTGCTGGAATATTGCTAAAAGCGGCGTAAAACCATACTCAATCGGTATTACAGGATTATGCACCCGTCAAATATATGTGTACGTTAAGTTATCTTCCTTTAACCTCTACCAAACACGATGACAACTTTTGATAATTTGAGTGGAAAGTTTTACAAAGTTCTTGAATCAGTCTGATGGAAGACAATACCTGCAGGACAAAAGAACACTGGTAGGGCAGAGTGTTCGCTCGCTATGATCTCGCCTGAAGGCGGCGGCGTAAACCAACACACACTCGTTCTTGGTTTGCGTTGTAGTGTCTCAAATTATATCCCAAAATTGTTCTATACCTTGCACCAGTCATATATTTACACAACTATTGATCAATAACATATTTCAAACGTATTTTTTCAGCGCGCTGCACAGACGTTTGTTTAGAATCTCATGGTTTTTGTGACAGGCCCTATGAATGCAAGTAAGTACACCAACTGATAGTTTGGACGTATGGAAATCTATCATTTTTGCGATTCTCGTAACGGTGTATGTAGCTGCTTTTAACGGTCATAGATTATCGCTTAGTTGATGGTTTTGTTGTATTTAGGTATCTGTTGATAAGGAAAGTAAACCAGTGTTTTGTTTTCCCGCCAGATGTCGCTTCGGATGGAGGGGAAGTAACTGCGACAAGTGCGTGACGTTCCGGGGGTGCCTACATGGCACGTGTCACGAGGCGTGGCAGTGTCTGTGTGAGGACGGCTGGAGCGGATCACTCTGTTCTATAGGTGAGTTCTAATATGATAGAACAGATATTGACAGACATTGATTTACAGGCAGATATTGATGACAGGCAGATATTGATTGTGCGGAGAACAGAACGATTACACTGCACTATGTGATTACTCCAACTTCCACATGCCACTCAAAGAAGTTACGTGAGTGATTGATGCAGCAATAGTCAAGAAATACCACGGTCTGGTAAACTGTCGAATCTGTGTGAGTGATGATTTTTATGCAGAAGCATGTACAATGTGAATGACACCCCCAAACCCCACCCCATAAAAAAAAAAATAAAAAATACAAGGTACAAGGTGACCCCCTTTCATATCATGTACAAAATCAATGCCCCCATTTTTTTTAAGCATATTTTAAAAGTATGTTTATGTACAATATAGCTGACCCTCCAGCACATGTGTACAAGATTGATGACCCCCAACCTCCCCAGAACAAAATGGATGACCCCCCTTAAAATCATCATCATAACCCCAGCCATAAATTATGAACTGTCCCTCAGGATTGTTCCCTGAAATCCTGCCAATTCAGTATATGTATTTGAATCTGACTATACATCAAGCTATGAATACGTGTTTTCCCTTCAGACAACAACTACTGCGCCTCCTACCAGCCCTGTCTCCATGGTGGCACGTGCAACTATGATTCTGTCAGCAACTTCACGTGCACGTGCCCTTCCGGTTATACCGGAAACCGATGTCAGTTTGAAACCTGTTTCCGTGGTTACTGTCTCAATGGCGGTGCTTGCGAGGTACGTCTTGCTCGACTTTGTCGAAGGGTGTATGAATGAAAGCATTGATAATACAAAGTGTGCAATATGTCGGTAGCTGATATTTCGTCAAACTAGGACAAGGACAACAAAACCCAATATTTCGAGTTGACTCTAATTATGCTATTAATATTCAAATGATACTCACAGGTAATACCTAAAGGCTTTGCGTGTGCGTATATGGTGGGTGCGAGAGTGAGGTTTTGTTTTGAGACAGTATCAGTTGTTAAACAGCACCTCAAAATAATCTTTTAGGATCCAAACAATGTATTTTATTAACCAATACAAATATTTTTCAGAGCATCAAAATTGTTTTCGTAAAGGACAAATAATATTTTTCGAGCAATTTCGGAAAAAGATTACCGTTTCAGGAAAAGCCCTAGAATTCAGCTTGTCTGCCCCAAAGCATAGGGTGCTTTCACAGTTACACAAACTGAATAGTCTCACGTACATGGCAATCTTTGAATCTCCAGGAGAGCGCGGAGGGTCGAACTTGTAGATGCCGGCGAGGCTTCCAAGGTAGGCGGTGTCAACACAAGGAAGTCACCTGTGGAGAACTATCCTGCCGGAACAACGGCACGTGCATGAGAGAATCACGTCACTGGCGCTGTCTCTGTCCTCCTGGTTTTACCGGGCTCCGGTGTGAAGTCGAAATAAACGAGTGCGAGTCTTCACCGTGCAGAAACGGTAAGTACTTTCAATAGTTTGGTTCCGGTTTCTGGATGTGGTAAGAAGGAGAGTGAATATTGTTTTACGTCAGGGTTCTCAGAATAGATCCAAATGCCCCTTGAAGGAGCGACTGAAGAATGTCGGATTTTCTTTTCTTTGCACTCAGCAATATTCCAGCTACATGTCGACTGTCTGTAAATAATCGAATCCAGATAATAGGACCAGAAAATCCAGTGATTTGACCTGGCCGGTTATGTTTCATGGGCGTTGACGGCATGGGACCTTGTCTATGCAGTTTATCATATAGTTGAGGTGATGTGATCGCTCTGTTGCTGAAAGCGATTTTAATCAACGATTCAGACAACCACTGCTACAAGATATGATCACGGCCATATAATTCCAGTATCTGGATCTGACGTTTGTGTTCCGCTGCTCTCAGCAATAACGACAGCTCTAAAATTATTTCACAAGTCAAGACAAATAAGTGATTGATATCATGAGCAACGGCCCACGACGTCGGTGTATGTCGCCGAACCACCTAATCTAGTCGCTTTACGACACGTCTTAGTATTGGTTATTATGGAAGTATTGGTAATTATGGAAGTATTGGTTATTATGGAAGTATTGGTAATTATGGAAGTATTGGTTATTATGGAAGTATTGGTTATTATGGAAGTATTGGTAATTATGGATCTACTCCAGCCTCAAATGGTTATAATCTGGCAGGTCGGAAGGTAAAAGATATTTTGCTATATAGAAAATATGTATTTTGAAGATCACATCATCCTGGGGTTAAAATTTCAGTCTGCTCTGGTCTGCAAGACAATTATTTCTACCTTGGACAACAAACAGTTTTACAACGCCTGTTATGTTAATAACTAAATACACACAATTTGAAGCAAAATGTTGAATGAGAGTGAAATGTATTTATCAATGAAACTTATGTATTGTAATAATTTAATAAATTCCATTATATTATCTACAGGCGGATTGTGTCGGGACCGAGTGAACGGCTACCACTGCGAGTGCCCGGAAGGCTACGCCGGCAAGATCTGCGACTACGTCTTCAACGCATGCCAAGGTTTCGAGTGTTTTAATGGCGGAACTTGTCGAATCTTAGGGCAATACACTCCAAAATGTTTTTGTCGGGAAGAATTCACGGGTTACCGCTGCGAGACCCCTCTGAATCCATGCTACGGGATTACCTGCCTACATGGAGGAACTTGCAAGAAAATCAACGAGCTGACATTTGAGTGCGCATGCGCACCGGGATATACCGGAAGTCTCTGCCAGAGACGAGACACGGAGACCTTGTGTGAGAATTCACCATGTCGGAACGGCGGAACGTGTAAATCCTACACCGATTCGTTTCTGTGTATATGTGAACCCGGCTTTGAGGGGGAACTTTGTGAAACGTCCCTCGCATCTGACGAACCCTGGGGTAACTCAATAACGGATGGAAAACACCCAAATAATGTACAAGCTCTAGGAAATAGTGCCTCGAGACATTCAACAAGTGTTCCTATCTTATTGTCTATGGTGGTTTCGAGGACATTGTTTCTGGTTTCAAGAAGGTAGGGAAAGAAGAATATTAGGATTATAAATTGACTTGAGAAAATGTTCGTGAGGGGTGTTTTTCATGTCTTATTAAGAAACATTCTTGCAAGTATGTGTACCGGACAGACCAGTAGCTTGTGCCTACAAGGACCCCGGCTCTGATGAACGTCCACAAGAGCAGAACAAATTTACAAAAGATAGAGAAGCAAATACAGATCAATTATTTGTATTTATTGCATGATGAAATGTTTCATCGTGTCGGGACACATGTGGTGGTTGTGGTTACCGTATTCCCTCAGCTGTTTGCTCGTTTAATATCGGAATATATGCATATCGCACCTGGCCTACAGGTCATCCAAAAGTCTGCCAAGGCTGTAGAATTTACATCGAAATTTACATTTCCACCTTATTGCGAGTCATAGAATATTTGTAAGAAATTATATGTCAATAATTTCTTAAGTATCATTTAATTCTTAATTACATACCTCCAAATGTATATGGTTTCATCGATAGTGGACTATTTAAACTTGGATCCTAGACTGAAAACAAAAACTCGTGCTGAGGCCGCCATCTTGTTTTCCAAAACCTTTACCGATGTTTGTTTTCGATCTGGATCAGGGGATACGGTAACTACAGCTAGTGACAGTAAGGGGCCTTGTTTGTGTTACCCAGGATTACATTCAGATAAGTTAACTTTACTTATTGAAAATTCGTATGATTTGATAATACAATACAGTAAAATTCCAATGACGTTTACTGGTTAATGGTTGGTTTGAAGGTGTTTAACGCCGCACTATTGCAACTATATGGCGGCGGTCTGTAAATAATCAAGTCTGGACAAGACAATCCAGTAATCAACATCATGAGCATCGATCTACGCATTTGGGACCCCGACCTGTTAGTCGCCTCCTCCGACAAGCATGGGTTGCTGAAGACCAATTCTAGCCCGGATCATCACGGGTGTACTAGTTAATGACGTTATGTTGCGTGATCGTATTCTGTGACTGGCTGGTAGTATTATCGAGAGCGCAGTACTTCACCAACTCATTAAGTTTAAATATCCTAGTTATGATACTTTGCGTGGTTGTGAGAGAATTATGAAGTGTTACGAATGTTGTTTCCTTTGTAATATTTGGTGTTTTCTTCATGTTATTCATTTTATTTGAGAGATTCATTGTTGTCTCCCATTGCAGATGACGTCATCATTACGTCATAATACACTCATCTCATCGTTGACTATGACGTAGGCATGCGTCATAATACCTGTAATTTGTACAGTGATTCACGTATACTCATTAGACAATTGTACATTTACCATGTATATACTGTTGTTTTTCACATTTAACCTTGTAGTATTTATTTGATAAGGATCTTAAGATACGTAAAATATCATTAAATTCAGTTCGAAGCATAGTTTTTGCGAAACCTAAATAAATGATGGAATAGATGATATTAAAACCGTGACAGCTATATTGAAGTCGGAAGCTAGTTCTACACAATATTGTTTGAATATCTGCTACATGCTTTGCGAATGTGATGTAAATATTCTTTAGTCAGCGAAATGATATACTATTAGTCAGTTAAGAGGTCTTTAACAGGAACACAAAATGTAAAATTGTTAAAATATACAATTTACAACGATATCGTTTGAACGAACGTCGTGATACTGAAGCGTTGCTATTTGCAAGTAGTATCCCTTTGAATACTGTTTAAACCTTGCATACACGTTTGTACGGAGTGACGAGACGATTCTGAAGTTAACAGTGTTTTCTAGATTATCCGGAAATGTTCAAACGCAACACCCTTACACAACTTAGAACCGAGGTGTTTTCCCCCGTCTTTTCGCTCCGCACTCTTCTCTTTGATAATACGGTTGGTAAGTTCCTATAGCTAAGCATCGATTTGTATGGTTCTAACATATCTTGTTCACACCGAAACTTAGCTTTTTGTCATGAGTAAAACATTGATACTTGGAAATATAATATTATTACAATGTATCTACATATGACTTGTTCAGGAGGCAAAACTGGTTATGTTTTATGTAGTTTTCAGTGACGGCCTGTCGACATTAAGATGGCGGCGCTCAACATCCACGACGCAATATACGACGATTGCTTTTAATGAGTACAGCGAAGTTGTCATCTGGTTGGTCAGAATAGGACAGTCTGGGTATCGTCTGTCTGAATTCGTGTACTCACGGTTAAGAGGATGACACGTCAAAACCCTTCAAAGGCGTAGCAATGACAGAACGCAAAACGATATTAAAAAATACCCCAATCGATCCCCCAATGACGCATGGGTTTCTAGGGGCAATCTGGTCACGCTGTTTCCACACGTACTACCCTCAGCGAAGACCACGAGTGGTGACACCCTCTTACGGACACCACCCCTATGTTGATAGAAAATGCATACAAATTACACAAAAATCTCCCACCCACTCTGTTCTCTTTATCCCTTGATAAAGTCTCACCTGCTCTTATCCAAATGATCAAGTCAACTGAGGGGTATACTTTCTTTTGCTCGTCAGTTTACTTTGGTCGCAGTAAATATGTTTTGCTATCTCTACCTACATAGTTTTTAGAGAACGTATATCCACATAAAACACGACGGATGATATCAAATCAAATCAAACCAAATGTTTATTGTATGAAGGTCATAGGCCCATATACATGAAGTGTACATGGTACAGTATAGGATCTATTTAACAAAAGATTCACATTTAATTTCTACTCATGAATGCATATTTGAAATAGAACATTACAGATTTTAAGTTTTGATAGTTTGTGGTAGTCATGAGGCGAACAAATTGTTGTACTGAAGGGCGATTTAAATATTTAATTGGTATGTATTTCTTTCGAATGTTCTTTAAGGATGGACATATAAAGGTGAAATGGTACAGATCTTCGACGTTGTTTTAAATTACAATATGTACATACCCTTTCAGACTTTGCAATTTTATTAGCAACTTGACCGAATTTTCATCAGAACGGATCACTAAGTATAACTGATTTCAAACGAACCGGTGACAGTCTAACCGAGGCGAGCAGTGACGGGTGTAGCATGACGATTGTAGGTCTATTAATATAATGAAGATGTCGAACTGAGACTTGATACATGACGCTTTCAGTACATGAAAATATTGGACTTTGTACGTATTTGTAAATAATGATGGTATTTTCAATAAATGTTATGTAAAAGTTATCACTGAGTATGTTGTTTTTTCAACTGCAGCGAATGTATGTTTCGTATTTCCTTGTGGGTGTGCGAACCTTAGTAGTACGACACAGTTATAAAATATAATGGAGTTTTAGACAGGTAATTCAGTGGTTGATGATATGAACAACAATATGGATCAACGTGGTCACAGCGCGGTGGGGTAGCCTAGTGGGTAAAGCGTTCGCTCGTCACGCCGAAGGCCAGGGTTCGATTCCCCACATGAGTAAAATGTGTGAAGCCCATTTCTGGTGTCCCCCGCCGTGATGTTGCTGGAATATTGCTAAAAGCGGCGTGAAACTAAACTCACTCACTCACTCACAGCGCGGTGACGCCCAGGCAGCCAGATCACCATGGGAACCATCTAGTACATACACTCTTCAAAAACAGAAACGCATAAACCATTTTTAGAAGAATTTATTGCGTTAGTTTAAGAGCGATTATTTCATGTACTTTCAATGGTTAGAAGGTGACAATTCAAATGTCTATAGACACGGAGTTCACAAACAACACATCAGCTTTTATTGTCGTGTTTCTGTTTACTTGAGTCCACAAGATGGCGTCAAGGTCAGTAATTTGTATGGCCACCATTGGCAGCGGTTACTGTTCGGCACCGTCTCGGCCAGACTGGATAAGTCGACGAAGTCGCTCTTGCGGAATTCTTCCCCACTCTGCCTGCAATGTGATGGTCAGTTGTGGAAGTGTCTGAGGCGTGTTTTGACGTTGACGGATACGTCGATCGAGTTCATCCCATGATCTTGTGAGGTGTAGTGAAAGTTAGAGCGTATCGGGTCCCCGACGTTTAGATCTGGTGATCGGTGATCGGTGATCGGTGATGGGGATTGTTAGAATCCTAGATGTAGCGGTCAGAACACACCCGTGCTGGATTTCTTTCGTAAAATTAGCTGACTATTGGGTGGAAATCAGTACAGACACCAGGTGTCTGTCAAAAGGGTAAGCTTGTCCTGTCCTATCGGTCTATCTGTTAATGGTATGGTCCTCCCGCCATGCGACAGCGGCCGGTTAACAAACCTTCAACGCAGTGAACTGCGTTTATGACGAACACTCTTAAAACGAACTGACTGATATAACGAACTGACTGATATAACGAACTGTTCTTTTGGTCCCGGCCAATTGTTTCATTTTCTAGTCCGAATGCGTACAACGAACTACGGGTTTAACGAACTATTTATTGGTTCCTTTGAGTTCGTCTTAACCGTAGCATACAGTAGTTAGTCACAGAACCTTTCAGCCACTCATTTTATATGGGTTTCCCAAGAGGATCGGTCAGAAGGCGTGTCCGTTCTAACATGGTACGGACTAACGAGGTTGCAGTATACAAGAAATCCTGTTTTGATCAACTGCACTAAACAAAATACCATTTTGTGATGGCTTGCCTGGGCAGATTATCCAAGAATAATAAACATGTGTCTATGAATCGTGATATATCTGACGGAGATCGGTCGGTAGTGGCAACTGGGAACATGGACGAACAACATGGATTGACTCCGGTGGTGGGTTCCACGAGGTGCCCAGACACAGATGAGGAAATGGTGGCATGGGGTTCAGCAAAATGCCGCTCATTCAGACATATCTGACGGGATGTAGTGACAGCGCATTCATAACCGACGTCAGCTGTAAAGTAAAACGCTGGACCGTATAACCTTACACCCATGTTTGCTGGAGTAGGTCATGGTGACCTAAGTCTAACACTGGGGTAAGTGCGTATGATTAAGTGCTTCCGTAACAAGCTCCTCACAGCGATATCCCGTTCGGAGCTCCCTGAACTATCGTTGCTACCAGTCATAATGATATCTCTTCTGCTTGGCGCTCTCTATCCATTCATAAACTTGACAGATATGTTAGCAAACAAGTGATGACAATGCTCTTCGCCTAACTAGATTTATTGGTGTATTTTGTCAAGCTGATATTTATTTTCAGTTCGCTAATGATGTAGTCGTTTCGAATGTAGGTTTCAGAAAACCACATATATCCCATATATTTACTTCTATAGTAACGTTATAGTAAATTTGTTTTAAAAGGGTTATTACATTAACAGGTGTGCATAGTCTGGCCTTAAAGCAACAATAAAAACAAACACAAAACAATGACTCGCTCATCCAGCTCCTTTACCGAGTGGGGTGTTTGGGTAGCCTATTGGTTAAAGCGTTGGCTCGTCACGCCGAAGACCCGGGTTTGATTCCCTACATTTGGTTCCCCACATGGGTACAATGTGTGAAGCCCGTTTTCTGGTGTCCCTCTGCCGCCCACAACCCCCTAAACCTACTTCGTACAGTAAATATACGGCGACTTGAACATTAACATATTTCGTCAAGTGTATATATGACAAGAGCGTAAACTTACTTCCTACGGTGAATATACGACGACAAGAACGTAAACCTACTTCCTACAGTGAATATACGACGACAAGAACGTAAACCTACTTCATACAGTGAATATACGACGACAAGAACGTAAACCTACTTCCTACAGTGAATATACGACGACAAGAACGTAAACCTACTTCCTACGGTGAATATACGACGACAAGAACGTAAACCTACTTCCTACAGTGAATATACGACGACAAGAACGTAAACCTACTATATGACTACAGTGATATGAATATACGACGACAAGAACGTAAACCTACTTCATACAGTGAATATACGACGACAAGAACAAGAACGTAAACGACATACGTTCTACTTCATACAGTGAATATACGACGACAAGAACGTAAACCTACTTCATACAGTGAATATACGACGACAAGAACGTAAACCTACTTCCTACAGTGAATATACGACGACAAGAACGTAAACCTACTTCCTACAGTGAATATACGACGACAAGAACGTAAACCTACTTCATACAGTGAATATACGACGACAAGAACGTAAACCTAATACAGTGAATATATGACGACAAGAACGTAAACCTACTACAGTGAATATATGACGACAAGAACGTAAACCTACTTCATACAGTGAATATACTTCCTACGACGACAAGAACGTAAACCTACTTCATACAGTGAATATACGACGACAAGAACGTAAACCTACAGTGAATATACGACGACAAGAACGTAAACCTACAACGACAAGAATATACGACGACGACACGTAAACGACGACAAGAACGTAAACCTACTTCCTACAGACGTGAGTGAATATACGACGACAAGAACGTAAACCTACTTCATACAGTGAATATACGACGACAAGAACGTAAACCTACTTCCTACAGTGAATATACGACGACAAGAACGTAAACCTACTTCATACAGTGAATATACGACGACAAGAACGTAAATACTTCCTACAGTGAATATATGAACAAGAACGTAAACCTACTTCATACAGTGAATATACGACGACAAGAACGTAAACCTACTTCATACAGTGAATATACGACGACAAGAACGTAAACCTACTTCATACAGTGAATATATGACGACAAGAACGTAAACCTACTTCCTACAGTGAATATACGACGACAAGAACGTAACCTACCTACAGTGAGTGAATATATGACGACAAGAACGTAAACCTACTTCATACAGTGAATATATGACGACAAGAACGTAAACCTACTTCATACAGTGAATATACGACGACAAGAACGTAAACCTACTTCCTACGGTGAATATACGACGACAAGAACGTAAACCTACTTCATACAGTGAATATACGACGACAAGAACGTAAACCTACTTCCTACAGTGAATATACGACGACAAGAACGTAAACCTACTTCCTACAGTGAATATATGACGACAAGAACGTAAACCTACTTCCTACAGTGAATATACGACGACAAGAACGTAAACCTACTTCATACAGTGAATATACGACGACAAGAACGTAAACCTACTTCATACAGTGAATATATGACGACAAGAACGTAAACCTACTTCATACAGTGAATATACGACGACGACAAGAACGTAAACCTACTTCATACAGTGAATATACGAACGACAAGAACGTAAACCTACTTCATACAGTGAATATATGACGACAAGAACGTAAACCTACTTCATACAGTGAATATATGACGACAAGAACGTAAACCTACTTCTACAGTGAATATATGACGACAAGAACGTAAACCTACTTCCTACAGTGAATATATGACGACAAGAACGTAAACCTACTTCCTACAGTGAATATACGACGACAAGAACGTAAACCTACTTCATACAGTGAATATACGACGACAAGAACGTAAACCTACTTCATACAGTGAATATATACGACGACAAGAACGTAAACCTACTTCATACGGTGAATATACGACGACAAGAACGTAAACCTACTTCCTACAGTGAATATATGACGACAAGAACGTAAACCTACTTCCTACAGTGAATATACGACGACAAGAACGTAAACCTACTTCATACAGTGAATATACGACGACAAGAACGTAAACCTACTTCCATACAGTGAATATATGACGACAAGAACGTAAACCTACTTCATACAGTGAATATACGACGACAAGAACGTAAACCTACTTCATACAGTGAATATACGACGACAAGAACGTAAACCTACTTCCTACAGTGAATACAGTGAATATACAGTGAATGAATATGACGACAAGAACGTAAACCTACTTCATACAGTGAATATACGACGACAAGAACGTAAACCTACTTCCTACAGTGAATATACGACGACAAGAACGTAAACCTACTTCATACAGTGAATATATGACGACAAGAACGTAAACCT